TTAAGAGAATAATAGGAAAGCTACCTTATCAATATCAGGAGAAGTTCAGGGGTGTTGTACAGACTTTGAGAGAACGGAAAGAAACAGTAAAGTTTGACCATCTTGTGGACTTTGTGAAGAAAGAGGCAAGAAAAGCAAATGATCCCATATTTGGAAAAGAAGCTCTCAGGAAAGATGAAAATACAGGAAAGTGGGTGCAAAGGAAATCCATATCAGCAAACAAGACTAAGTATGCATTTGCTGCCAACCAGGTTAACGCACCGGAGACAGAGAAACAGACACAAGATAACCACAGAAATGATAAACATAATACTGTATATGCCTATCAAACCAGATCATTGCAGAAACCCTGTTTGTATTGTGATTCTCAACAGCACAGTCTTCTGGGTTGTGACACATTAAGAGGCAGACCTTATGCAGATAGAATTTCTTTCCTGAAAACGAAAGGTTTGTGTTTCAGATGCCTGAAGAGGGGTCATCTTAGTAAGAGTTGTCACTTCAAGGCCACATGTAAGCAATGTCAAGGTTGGCACCAAACTTTACTGCATATAGAGAATCAAGACTATCAGAACTCTGAACAGATTTCTAAGAGGGATCAAATAATGACAGAAGAAAAGAGCATTGCTAGTGCCTGTGCAGAGCATCCAAGTGTCTGTGGTTCTGATATGGGGGTCAGTGACATTGATTGTGCCATGGCTATCATTCCTGTAATAGTGAAGATGAAAGATGGTTTGAAAACAGTGAAAACCTATGCATTTCTGGACCCAGGGAGTAGCGTCTCTTTTTGTACAGATAATTTGCGACATGAGCTTGGTATTCAAGGCAAAAAAATGAAAATCACCATTGAGACAATGGGAACTCCTCATACAATGCACACCTATGCTGTTAATGGACTAGAAGTCTGTGATTTACAGATGGAGAACTCAATCAGAATGCCAAAGGTCTACACAAAATCTAAGATGCCTGTGACCAATAATCACATACCAACAGAGAAAGATATTGCTTGTTGGTCTCACTTATGTGACCTTGAACTTCCTAAGCTGGATGCTGAGATTGGTCTGTTAATTGGAAACAATGTTCCCGATGCATATTCACCAATTGAACTAAAAACAGGTTCCCGCGGCACCCCACATGCAGCGCGGACTTTACTGGGATGGATTGTGTGGAATGTTGTTAGGTTTTCAGATAACACTGAATCTGCAGAGAAACCGCACTCAACTTGTTTAGTTAATAGAGCAGAAGTGCTTGCAATTCAAGAGGTCAATCAGCTTGAGCAATTGGTTAGACAGTCAATGACAATTGACTTCTCTGAACGTGTTACAGATGATAAGAAAGAATTCTCCCAGGAAGATAAGAAATTCATGAAGAAAATGGAGGATACTATAGACTACAAGGATGGTCATTATTATCTGAATCTTCCATTCAGGAAGGATGATGTTAAATTGCCAGACAATCACATGCAAGCTCTTCAGCGACTTGGAAGTTTGAAAAGGAAAATATCAAAGAACACAGAATTTGGGAAAGACTATACAGATTTCATGGCAAATATTCTTGAAAAAGGTTATGCAGAGAGAGTTCCTGACGAAGAATTGGACAGGAAAGACGGTAGAGTCTGGTACATACCACACCATGGGGTGTACCACCCTCACAAGCCTGGCAAGATACGTGTTGTATTTGATTGCACGGCTACATATGAAGGTGTATCTTTGAATGGTCAACTTTTACCTGGTCCAGATTTGATGAATAGTTTGACCAGCATTCTGCTTCGTTTTAGAAAAGAGCCTATTGCTTTGATGGCAGACATAGAATCTATGTTCTATCAAGTGAAGGTACCTAAGGAAGACTGTGACTGTCTTCGGTTTTACTGGTGGCCTAATGGAGACATTTCAAGAGAACCAGTTGTCTACAGAATGTTGGTTCATTTATTTGGAGCAATCTCCTCACCCAGCTGTTCAATTGCAGCACTTCGACAAACCGCTGTTGATCATGAGAACTTGTTTGACACAGATCTTGCTGACAAGATCATGAAGAGTTTTTATGTTGATGACTACTTATCATCAGTTGATAATGAAACAAAGGCCATTTCACTTATCCATGATGCACGCACTTTGTGTCAACTTGGAGGATTCAGACTGACAAAATGGGTTAGTAACCATCACACTGTGCTAGAATCTGTACCTGTTGATGAACGAGCCAAGGATGTCAGAAACTTAAATTTATCATGTGAAGATCTGCCATCTGAGCGTGCTTTGGGTGTATATTGGTCAGTTGAGTCAGATACTCTTGGATTTAAAATGCAGATCAAAGATAAACCCTATACAAGAAGAGGTCTGTTATCGGTCATCAGTTCGGTGTATGATCCTATGGGATTCGCAGCTCCATTTGTTTTAAAGGCCAAACTTCTTCAACAGAATCTTTGCCGCCAAGGAATCGGCTGGGATGTACCAATACCAGAAGATTGTCAGATTCATTGGAAACAGTGGTTGGATTCCCTTCCTCAGCTAGAGACTATGTCAATATCAAGAAGTTACACACCTACAGAATTTGGAGATATAACACAGTGTGAGTTACATGTCTTCTCGGATGCCTGTGAACATGGATATGGGGTGGTAGCGTACCTTCGACTCTGCAACGCAGCAAATGAAACACATTGTACTCTTATCACTTCAAAATCACGTGTCGCTCCTTTAAAGAAGATGACTATACCAAGATTAGAGCTAACTGCAGCAACTGTGGCAGTCCGTCTAAGTACACAGATAGTTGCTGACTCAGAGTATACCTTCGACAGAGTGTGGTTCTGGACTGACAGTATGGCTGTTTTGCGCTATATAAATAACGAAACAGCACGTTTCCACACTTTCGTTGCCAACCGAATTGCTGTCATCAGAGAAGGTTCCAAGACAGAACAGTGGAATTACATTGATTCACAGCAAAATCCAGCAGATGCAGCATCAAGGGGTATGAACATGAAACAATTCCTTGAGGCAGACTACTGGATAAATGGCCCACAGTTTCTGTGGAATTTAGACTCAAAATGGACACAAGATAAGCATTTATCACTCGCTCTAAGTGAAGATGATACTGAAGTGAAGAAAAAGAAACCTGTATATGCTACACTTGTCAACAAGTCACAAGATGCCATGACAAGACTGGTGAGCTATTTTTCAAGTTGGGCCAAATTGAAAAGAACTGCAGCTTGCCTTCTACTAGTCAGGAAATACCTCCAGCACTGTGTGAGAAAGAAAAGGTTGACCAGTCCAAGCAAACCTGAAAGTAATATTGGATGGAACAGCCATGAGTCACTGCTTATGACACCAGAATTGATAGATGAAGCTGAGAAATCATTGATCATCTATATACAGCATCAGCATTTCTCCAACGAGATAGAAGCACTCCGGTCGTCTCAACATGGACAAAGTAAATCTGTCAAGCGATCAAGTGCTTTATACAAGTTGGATCCTATCATCATTGATGACATGCTGAGAGTTGGAGGTCGACTTGAGCGTGCAGATATATCCCTTAATGCAAAGCATCCTATTCTGTTGCCTCGAGACGATATCATTGCTGTCATGCTACTAACAGATATACACAAGGAAGTAGGTCATCTTGGGAAGAATAGTATGCTCACCACATTGCGTCAAAAATACTGGATTCCTGGGGCTGGATCAATCATTAAAGGACTCTTATCTAAATGTGTGATCTGCAGAAGATACAGAGCACAAGAAGGAAACCAAAAGATGGCAAATCTACCCAGTGACCGACTAACTCCTGAAGAGCCACCTTTTACTCGAGTTGGCATGGACTACTTTGGACCATTTTATGTTAAGCGAGGTCGATCTCTCGTCAAACGATATGGAGTACTCTTCACTTGCTTATCAGTAAGAGCTGTTCACCTAGAGGTAGCATGTATGCTTGATACAAGTTCTTGTATCAACGCTATCCGGAGATTTATTGCTAGAAGAGGTGTGCCAAAAGTTATTCGATCGGACAATGGTACAAATTTAGTTGGATGTGAAAGGGAACTAAGAGAATCAATTAATTCTTGGAATCAGAAACAGATCAACAGAGAACTACTTCAGAAACACATTAGTTGGAAGTTCAATCCTCCCTTGGGATCTCATCATGGAGGTGTTTGGGAACGTTTAATACGGTCAGTGAGACAGGTACTGTATTCATTAATGCATACTCAAATTGTCCATTTGGATGACGAGGCATTACAAACCTTATTTTGTGAAATTGAGGCCATATTGAATGACAGACCGATTACACAGTTGTCATGTGATCCGAATGACCTGACACCGTTAACACCAAATCATCTGTTACTTCATAGAGCTGGGGAAGACTTACCCCCAGGCACATTTCACAAAGAAGACAATACTGCCAGACGAAAGTGGCGTCAAGTACAGTATCTAGCAGATATTTTTTGGGTAAGATGGGTTAAAGAATACTTACCCATGCTACAAGAAAGACAAAAGTGGTTACTGCCAAAGAGAAATGTATGTATTGGAGACATCGTTCTCCTCATGGATTCCTCTCCAAGAAGTATGTGGGCTATGGGAAAATTGTGGACACTTTTCCAGACAACAAAGGCTTTGTTCGCAGTGTAAGAGTGAAAACCATGTCGGCTGAACTGGTTCGTCCTATTGACAAATTGTGTTTGCTTTTGGAAGCAGATAGTGCCTTAAATGAATGTTAAAGGCGATGATCACTGTGACATTCTAGTGACCCTTATATGGAGAGTTACCTAAAATGGACATCCTTGTGTATTTATTGACTGTGGTTGTAGTAGTAATACCATGATAATAATTAATCTTGAAAGTGTTAGTCATATTTCAATTCATCTGCAGTTACCCATGCTTGTCGTGAGGGGTGACTGCCGGGGTCGGGTGGTCAGTCTCGCTGGCTTTGTTGACACATGTCTTCGTGTCCCGGTTGTGTGGATTGATGCTCATGCTGTTGATCACTGGATTGTCTGGTCCAGACTCAATTCTTTGCAGACCACTGCCATATGGCTGGAATATTGCTGAGTGCGGTGTGAATCTTAACTCACTCACTCACTTGAAGGTGTAACACATTAACTCGTGGCATCATACAAAGAACAACATGTCAGTGTACAGTTGGCTACCGAGGTAACACTTGTCAAGAGATACATATTTTATAAAACATGACGAGTTTCATATGGATGTATAATTCTACATTACTGATTTATTTATTATTTGGCCTGTTGCATTGTGATTTGTAATTGGTATGATTTAATCGTCCCAATTAGGGGGCCAGTATGTTACGGCCAAAACTGTATATATTTTGAATTTTTTGTTTTTGTGGGTTTGTATGAAATATGTTATGGTTGACAGAAACGCCTATACTTTTGTTTGTCGTTAAATATTTTAGCGGGTTGCATTTAGGGGTGTCAAGGGGAGATAACTTTGGGTAGCTATGTGATTCGTGATCAGTATGTCGCCTGCTTGCCATGTGAGCGTGTCAGAGAGCAGATGGTCTACAAACGGTATGAGTAACTTTTACATTTTCTGCTTGTCAACACTTTGTGTTATAGGTAATGAAGCTATCAGCAGCATTTCTGCAATATGAATTATTGATATTTCTGTGTATCTCACGTTTTCAATACTGTTTGCTGCATTCAAAACTCGCTCGCTTTGCACGAGTTCTAAAAATAGATTTTCTCAGGTTTTCGTTTGTTTGGGCTTTCAAAGTCATTAATTTAACAAGTAATAAGGGTTTTTTACTGAAATAGTAGTCATGTAAGTTTACTAACATTATTCGTCACTGCAGGTAGTTAGAAATGTAAAACTTTGTCAAAAGTGTATCTTTATTGATGAAGTTGAGAATGTAAATGCGGCGATACTGACAACATTATATGGAACTATAGATTCCCTTATTTCTTCATTGCAGTCAATCTATAGCAAGGACACTTGCGTCGAATTGGCCCGAATCTGCTTAGAAATCCAGAATATTGTCGTTTCAATATGAATATGAATCATGATGAACTTGAGAGACACTTGCGTTGAATTGGCCCGTATCTGCTTACAAATCCTATTGACATTTCAATATGAATATGAATCATGATGCACTTGAGAGAAAAGAATAAAAGCAACTCCTGAACTACAACTATTGCGTTGAAACTGATTCAAAGAACTACAGCATGTTTTTCTGTATTTGTATGCATATGTATTGCCATGTGTATTCTGATTTCTTACATGCTTAGTTTCTTTTTGTGGCTGGTATATTTTATGCCTGTACATTTTCAGTGACTGAAGTTGGGGGTTATTCAAGAGTTCCCATGAGAGACCCACCTCCGTATTCTTCACAAGGTAAGGCATTTTATTTATTTTTCTTTCTCTTCAAAATAAATTTCCGACGTGAAACATTATGCTCTCCCTGTTACAAAACTGATAAGCTATCTTACTAAGATTTCTTCCAGGTAGTCTAGACAGTTGTAGTTGTGTGTAGTGGATTCTCGGCAGTTTATACTGTGAATATGGTAATGCAGTATCAATGCATTTTGACACAAAAGCATTTAAACAAAATTTTTGTGTGAAATGTTCAGCCCCCAAAATTCTTTAACTCTTATTTCCACAGTAGTGAACTGAAGAAATAGCTGAAATACCAAATTCTTTCGTTCTTAATAAATGTAATGTGCTTTATGCCTAGTTTTCAATAGTATTCTGATAAAAAAGTCACTAGCATTTTGCAAAGCCTTGAAACGTAGGTATGAGTCTCAGTTACCATGGTTTTAGGTTACTATGGTAATCGTAATGCTAGCAGGCTTTGTCTGCTAGGCCAAAGAGAATATAGCTGAATTTCAACAATTTAACCACCTGGATGTCCTTAAAGTACTTTTAGTATCAAAGCCTTAAATCAGAGCATAAAACTGTTCACTATTTCTTCCTGGACTTCTCATATGGATAGGTCTGGTGGTGTACTAGTTCCTTTTGGTAGTTTTGGATTTCTGAATAAACTATTTTTTTGGAGTTTCCATGGCAACAAGTTTGACTTTGACTGAAATTGGTGGAAGTGCTCTTTCCGGAGCAGAACTTTAAAAACATAGAATATTTTATAACCAATCTTTGCACATAGATAGGTCTATTGGTGAAATGGTGCCTTTTGTGGTTTTGGATTTCTGAGATATAATATTTTTTGTGTTGGTTTTGACTGAATTTTGGTTGTAATGCTCTTTTCTGGAGCAGAGGTTTAAAACCTTTCAATACTCTTCTTCCACTTTGCTATATACATGCTAAAACATTTGACAGTCATAACTAGTTGACATATTGATTTGAGGAGAGAAGGCGATCATAGGTGGTGCACTTGTGTCTTATCCGTTGTCTTTTGGACAATAAAATATATAAAGAGTATTTTGCCATTCTTGGGGATATTGATGACTTTGTCTTCCTGTTATCATGGTTTTGTCTTGTAATAGGTAAATGCTTTTAAGAACTCAGAATGCACATTTGCCTCAAGAGGAAGAAGATGTTTATACCACCAGATGTTTGATTATTGTATAGGAACTTTGCTTGAGTTTTCTTTGGCAGTACTTTTTGTTTCAGAGAGGTCCACATGGCGGATGAGGAGACGCAGGGGCATGGGTAAGATGAGTATTGGGTCAGAATTATGTCCACACTGACGGGGAATAGGGTGTATTGACATAGAAGTTGAAGGAAATTATCCAAGTGAATCTCTTCTTTTGGTGAAATCATTTCTTATGCTATTGTTTTCTCAAGGAAATTATTCCCATGGAACAGATTGTGCACTGAGCAGTATTGCATCTAAATGACGGTGGTCTGTAAAAAGTCTGACCACCCGATCCCATCAATCTCCTCATATGAGTGAGTGAGTGAGCCACAATGGTGTAGTGGTTAGCATGCTGGCCTCTCAAGCCAAAGGCCCAGGTTCGAATCCCGGTGGAGACACCAAAACTTGTGACCTGGGTCTCATACTGTGTTGTGTCCCTGGGCAAGGCACTTCATCCACATTGCACTCAGTCCACCCAGCTGTTTGAAATGAATACCAGCAACAAACTAAACACTATGTACTCTGTTATGTTGTATTATATGTAACGTGTAGTGTGTTGTATTAATGTGGTGTTACAATACGTGAGTCTACTGTACCATCCCACGCTCACATTCACAGAGATTGCGAAAGTTGAATTTATTGCTGCTGTGCACAGCATATAAATTACAGTCAGGTCACGTTAGTCCGGACCCCGACAATCCGATTCCCGCGATATCCGAACAATAGCTAGCTGTAACCAATCTTGTTTACTATGTAAACTCATTAACTGTTGATTCATTAATCCGGTGCTTCACTCTCCGGATCCGGACCTTAACAGATTAGCTAATTACACTTGGTTTTGCTTCATTAATCCGGCGGTACATCAAAGAGGTTCAGATAATCCCCTTACCTCATGAGCAACATTGATTAGCGCTGATCTTCATCGGTAAACTTCATAGTAATTGATAAGTGAGGTGACACTTCTGAGTTGAACATGTCACTGGTTCCTGGCATGTCTAAGGGAAGCAACTCTGCAAAGGAAATTGCACTACCTGAAAACACCTGGACCAGTTGATTTTATCAAATCTGGTATTTTTTTCTTCTATCAAATATATAATCCTGGCCCCTGATCCCATGATAAACTTTTATTATTATTTTTATTATTATTGGATATTTATATAGCGCACATATCCACGCACTAGTGCACGCTCAAGGCGCTCATATTTTTTCCCTAGATCATTGCATCTTATTATCAATCTCAACTCCCTGAGGAGCATACTACTCTTGCTGCCACAAGGTGCACCGAGTTATTGCGGCTTTCACAGCTGGATGGACTGGAACACATATAGTCACAGTACTTTGTCCAAGTTTAAACTATAGAATTACCACAGGTTGTAACATTACAAAAGCTTTGTGGATCGGGCCCTGGACAACTTAATGCTACACTTAAGTCGTTGGCGATCAATAGCCTGTTTTTATATTGTATCGTCCTGTATAGTTTAAGTATTTTAGATTTAATTACTAGTTTTAAATTCGAATCTGTGATAATCTAGTTATTTTACTGTCCATCGTTGACAGGTTTTTACAGTTTACCATTAATTACTATGTATAAAATTAATTGTTCTTGTCACAATATGGCTGAAATATTGCCGATGTGACGATAAATTTGAACTCACTCACTTAATGCTACATGAACCGACTCAGTTGATGTAACCATGGTTTTCAGTTAACTTAGTATGAGCATGGAGGCAGTTTAAGCGTGAACAAACAATTCTGTGTATATGGAATAGGAAGCACAACCATTTTATTTTTAATATGTCACTAAACAAAGAACATTAATTTATTCAGTTTCTTCTTTGCTCGCTTCCATCATCCTTTCATTACGATTAGTTTAGTAATTATTCAATATCTTTGTTCCAGCACAGCCTTGGACAAAGGACTTCACAGATCAAACCACAGGTGGCAACCAGGCGGACGGTGTCCCTCCTCCCTCCCTGGAAGGAGGCGGAGGTCGCTGTCCATGAAGGCGGGATACTGATGAAACTGCCCCAAAGGAGAAAACTACATCAGTGGATCAACAGGATTCAAACAGTGTGTCTTTGCTTATTGGTTTTATTAATGTTTTTCTAATTTTAATTGAGCATTCACACTTTTCTTGGATGAGTACAATTGTAGCAGGGCGTGGAGTCCTCCCTCAGATGACATCCTTACCTTGTCAGTGTAGCAGGGCGGAGTCATCCCTCAGATGATATCCTGACCTTGTCAGTGTAGCAGGGCGTGGAGTCATCCCTCAGATGACATCCTTACCTTGTCAGTGTAGCAGGGCATGGAGTAATCACTCAGATGGCATCCTTACCTTGTCCGTGTAGCAGGGTGTGGAGTCATCCCTCAGATGATATCCTTTCCTTGTCAGTGTAGCAGGGCGTGGAGTCATCCCTCCGATGACATCCTGACCTTGTCAGTGTAGCAGGGGTGTGGAGTCATCCCACAGATGATATCCTGACCTTGTCAGTGTAGCAGGGCATGGAGTCATCCCTCAGATGATATCCTTACCTTGTCAGTGTAGCAGGGCATGGATTCATCCCTCAGATGACATCCTGACCTTGTCAGTGTAGCAGGGCGTGGAATCATCCCTCCGATGATATCCTGACCTTGTCCGTGTAGCAGGGCGTGGAGTCATCCCTCAGATGGCATCCTTACCTTGTCCGTGTAGCAGGGCGTGGAGTCATCCCTAAGATGATATCCTGACCTTGTCAGTGTAGCAGGGTGTGGAGTCATCCCTCAGATGATATCCTGACCTTGTCCGTGTAGCAGGGTGTGGAGTCATCCCTCAGATGATATCCTGACCTTGTGAGTGTAGCAGGGCGTGGAGTCATCCCACAGATGATATCCTGACCTTGTCCGTGTAGCAGGGTGTGGAGTCATCCCTCAGATGGCATCCTTACCTTGTCAGTGTAGCAGGGCATGGAGTCATCCCTCAGATGATATCCTGACCTTATCCGTGTAGCAGGGCGTGGAGTCATCCCTCAGATGATATCCTGACGTCAGTGTAACAGGGCGTGGAGTCGTCCCTCAGATGATATCCTGACCTTGTCCATGTAGCAGGGCGTGGAGTCATCCCACAGATGATATCCTGACCTTGTCAGTGTAGCAGGGCGTGGAGTCATCCCTCCGATGATATCCTGACCTTGTCCGTGTAGCAGGGCGTGGAGTCATCCCTCCGATGATATCCTGACCTTGACAGTGTAGCAGGGCGTGGAGTCATCCCTCCGATGATATCCTGACCTTGTCAGTGTAGCAGGGCGTGGAGTCATCCCTCCGATGATATCCTGACCTTGTCAGTGTAGCAGGGCGTGGAGTCATCCCTCCAATGATATCCTGACCTTGTCCGTGTAGCAGGGCATGGAGTCATCCCTCTGATGATATCCTGACCTTGTCAGTGTAGCAGGGCGTGGAGTCATCCCTCCGATGATATCCTGACCTTGTCAGTGTAGCAGGGCGTGGAGTCATCCCTCCGATGATATCCTGACCTTGTCCGTGTAGCAGGGCATGGAGTCATCCCTCCGATGATATCCTTACCTTGTCCGTGTAGCAGGGCGTGGAGTCATCCCTCCGATGATATCCTGACCTTGTCCGTGTAGCAGGGCGTGGAGTCAACAAAGGCCCTGTGGTTACTCAAGCAATGGAAGGGTGTATTTGGACTCGAGTGCTCATTTCAGTATCCAAGCCCAAGTGGCGCCTTTGTTATTCCAATTCACTCTCCCTTTTTAGCTATACCTATATCAGACATAGAAGAAACATGATTTGAAACTTTGCGGTGTAACTTTGGCTTGAATGCTGCAGCGAAAGTGTACTGAGAAGTGTAATCCCAGATATACCATATGTTAAATTTTATCATACTTAATTTGGGCTTCAGAGTACTTGCTTATGAAACATAGCCAGCATTTGCAACAAACATCTTGTTAAGGGGTCAAACCTGAAAAGCGGTTTGCTTACAGTAACACTCAGTCTAACACACAAATCATTCCTTCCATCAGCAGCTGAGACTTTGGAGGAAGTCAAACAGGTACCTAGATGCTGGGAGAGGATCTTTCCCAACGCTTGAGTCCACCGAACAGGCCAGCTCAGTCATGTCTGTGACATGCAAGGATGCTGATCACACGTCCATCAAGGAGAGATACATGGCGCCAAGCAGGAATGGTAAAACTATCTCATCTTTCCAATGATTTTGTTAATTTTGTTCCGCAATCTGAAATCTCTGACAATGTAAAGTGTTTACGACATGATGAACCCTGTTGTACTAAATGAATTATAAGGTCATATGTAGCTGAGGCTCCACGCAATACACATATTCTAAGCGCATACAACATAACGGACATTATCCTACCACATGTAAGAATGTCCATCTTTAATTGGTCCAAGTGACCTTGAACAGAGAACCATGTATGCCCGGCGCATGGCTGTACACTGCAGAAACAGGATATAAATCTTTGCGAGGGAGAATAAATTATTTAAACCACGCATCCACGGCAGTCAGTGAACCATGAACCAGTGGTTCGGATCGACTAGTCAGTACATGTTAGTAAAATATAAGACTGAATTTCAGTTTGTTTTAATGCTGTTTTAAATAATGAGAGATTTGAACATTTGGTAAGATAAATTCGTTGTAGCATTATGATTTGGGGTATACGGGGTTTTATACTTCCCGAGGTGGATAAAATCAATAGAGGATGCATAAAACCGTGTATACGCCTCATCACGGTGCTACAAATTATGTTCTTACCCCAGATGTATGTTATCTCGTTTGAATATTTTTACTGTTAACAAAGGTCAATGATGAACATAATGAATGCAATGAACATAATGAATGAACATGAACACAATGAATGAACATCAACACAATGAATGAACATCAACACAATGAATGAACACAATGAATGAACATTATGCCAAAAGTGATTCAGTCTCCAGCCTCTTAAATATGTTTTCTAATTTTGTAGAACAAAAGAGGCCCTCGAGTGTACACATGGGGACAGAGTCTCCTCTTCGTCTTGGTTCAGCCCCAGCACTAAACACTGACAGCTTCAAGTCAGATCATGAAAAGTGAAAAAGTTAAGAAGAAAAGACGATATTGGTTTTGTAGAGAGCCATCTCTATACTTTTTCTTCAGAATGTGATTGTGGTGATCAAAGAGCTCCTCAAATTGTTTTAGGGGTACTTAGACGTTATGTTTTGTGAATTCTATTCTGTGGCTGAAGTATGGAGATAGACTGTTTGAACAGTTCTGTGGACATTGAAAAAGTGTTTGCAGCAGAAGAAAAGAGGTAAAACCTTCAAGTCAGTTCTGCACATCCATAAGGAAGAGCTTAAGTTTTAGGGCTCTGTATTGGCAAACAAATTATCTTGCAATATATTTTGTTATGGTATCTGTATTGCAAACATATTGCGATATACATTCTTCCCTTGCCATAACGCATGGTTTGGGGTTCCATGGATGTCCAATAAGTATAATGATAATAGCTAGTTATGAAGCACCTGTTTCCTCGCGCTTGTGCATCCTCAAAGCAGTGATGCATTATTACCAAGTGAGGCACTAAAGCAATGCCGGAAATGCTTTGAAAATGCTTCAATATCAATATGATGAATTTGACACAAGATAAAAAACACATATATGATACATGTACGACTCTACCTAGTTGGATATTTAAGCTCAGATAAAAAATGCATTTGGGGGACTTCACAGGAGGAAATTTTGACGTTTTAACAACATTCAGAAATATTCTAAAGTACAAACTGTAGTTTTGAAATACAGACTATAATTATTCATATAGCCACAACTAATTAAATTACATAAATGATCGTAAGAAGGTTTGTTTGTTTTTAACATCTATTTGTGAAAAAGATGAAACTCTTGTGTAGTAGTTGTATTCAAAATAATTATGTAAAAAGTCTTAATTCAAATCAAATAGATAATCTTGTTTATCCATAGAAGTTTCACTTCGTGTCTGAGCACTGAACTGGCAACAATGCAACTTAATATCTCTGCAGAACAGTTAATTTCAAATTGATACCAGTATTTCATAATGGAGAAACAAAGGGGGAAACCTCTCGTCAGCTATGACAGGGTTTACTATAGAATGTGTAAAGCTCTTAATTTGACATATAGTCAGGTGTACAAAGTTGTAAACAAATCAGTTACCTCAGGGGTCGTGTCAAAATCAAAACCAGGTAGGAAACACAAACTGGATAGCTTTGATAAGGGTGTCATACGTCGTGCAGTTTATAAACTGTATGAACGCAAAATCCCACCGAAGTGTGCTAAAATACAAGATGAGATCAAAGATACAATAAATGTCTCGAAAGCAACACTTTGGCTGTGGTAGAAATGGGGTTTAGGTACACCAAAAGGGGAGATGACAGAGCTGTGTTTAGAGAAAAGTACTCAATCCTGTCCATGCGATCAGCTTATCTCAGAACAGTTGAAAATACCTCAATTTGGGGTTTCAAATTATATACCTTGGTGAAACCTGGTGTAATAAAAATCACTCAACCGATCGGATGTGGCTTCCTTCATATTGTTCTAAGACACCAGTGTTACCATCAGGCAAAGGTAGACGACTGATCATCTTGCATGCTGGTACCCGGAGCAAGGGACTGATTGGGGGTTGTGACTTTGTTTTTGAGGCCAAGAAATCTGATGGTGATTACCATAGGGAAATGAATGGGCAGGTATTTTTGGATTGGTTCGAACATCAGCTTTTACCCCAGCTGGACGAACCAAGCGTTGGATTTTTGGATAATGCCAGTTACCATAACCTGCGTGTCCCTGGTACCATCACACCCACCATGAGCAATCTCAAGGCTCAGTTGCAGGATTTTCTCACTTCCAGAAACTAAGCCCAAGCTCATGGAAACAATTCGGCAGCACAAAAAGCCAATCCAGTACATCACTGACGAACTAGCTGCAAAACATGGCCACATAGTTCTGCTTACACCAGTACGGCACTGTGAGCTCAAACCCATCGAGCTGATCTGGGGTAACTGTAAGAATTTTATTGCTCGCAATAATACCACATTCAAGCTTTCAGACGTTAAAGAGCTTGTGGATGCTTCTTTTGCAAGAATTACCCCAGAAGTGTGGCAAAAGCCTGAAGACCGTGTTCTTAAAATCGAGGATGAATACCGTCTGCGGGACGGCGTTAACGTTGGCCGAGTTGCACCTGTTGTAATTCCGCTAGAATCCTCGACCAGCAGTGATACTCTCACTTGATATTTTGGGACGGTCCCTGACATGCGTTGCCCGTTCGTTACATAACGCTG